ACGTACACTAAAATTGCGTATACACGCACCCAAAAAAGTTTAACTTTTAATGGAATAGTATTGTTTAATTAACTTGTTATCATCATCATTCATTATCAATCTTTGAAAGATCTAAACATATCACATGATATTTCTTTTTTTTACGGTTGTTTTTAGCTATTTCTTTCTGGCTCTTTGACGCATATTCTTTTGTGTTAGCCGTTATCCATTTTTCTTATTGGGGTATATCTATGTATTTGTATTTAATACTATCAATATCTGCTTCAGAGTCATACGAAATTTAACTGATGTAAACTCGAGACCTGCTATACCTATACCTATTTTATTTATATATTTTACACATTTTTCATTATTTTTATATCTCATTGATGTAACATAAGTCAATCTGGTAATGTTACTATTAATATCTGGTTGAGAGTTTTATTAAATTTACCTGACTTAAGAACACAGTTGGGTCTGAAACATACCATTAGTCATTTCTGTATACTCGTGTTTTTCTGAATTCTGAGCTTCTAAGTTTTTACTCTTTTGTCAATAAATAAATAATCTAGCTGTGTAAAATATTGCAATCCAAAGTTCAATTGAACTACCTTATGGTAGTATAGGGTTGCCTTATATAATCTCATACAGTGATGCTGCCCTTAGTTATTAATTGTATACTTGGTTTTAACTGTGAGGTATTAAGGTAATGCTGTCTGTTCTATATCAGTGGATTATATTCACTACTTCCATTGACTACCCAGTTTCTTCAACATTGAATCAGCACATAAGTTTTGATGGTTAACCTTGTTCAGGTATTCTTTGAGCTCTATTGAGTGGCTAATCATCAACAACTCTCTAAGCATTTTTAATGTTTACATTTTTTTTTTCATTTTAAATAATTAAATAAAAGACTTGAAATTAATTTGTTTTTAATAAATTCCATTTGGTTTTTTATTTTGTTTAATTTGTTCGCTCTTCTTTCTCCTCTCCTTCATCTTACAACATTTTCTTTATTTTCATTTAGCATTATTTGTATTTCTTTTATAAATTTTAGACTAACAACAAAAAGGGTAAAAAAATAAATTTTAAAACAAAAAAAATTTAGAAAAAATAAAATTTATACTATTAAAAAATTACACAATTACACAATTAATGAACTTTACACTTTTAAACAATTTACTTTAAACTATTAAAGCATAAAAATAAGGCAAACTAGAATAAAATGTATGTATGTATATATTATTTATATTTTTAATATTATTTTTAGCATTAGTATTTTAGCTTTAATAAAAAAATTAGTAAAAAAAGTTTACATTTTGTGTCAAAATATGTAAAAAAAAAATATTTCTGAATTTTATTTTGTTTAATTTTTTTATCTTTTTTGCTATATAAAGTTCATTGCAAGTTTTGACCTTTTTTTACAATAATTTATAGTATTTAATTTTGTATTTAGTTTTTATTTAATTAATTTTAATTTTTTAAATCTTACAACATATTTTTTAAATAAAATTATTTTAATTTTTATTTCATATCACAATAGAAAAAAGAATTCATCTTCTCTTTTACAAGTTTTTGTTTTATGTATTTTTCTTTTATTTAAATTAAACAGAAATTTACATAATTTTATTAAATATATAATGTATATAATTTCTTCTCAAAGTTATAATAATAGTAATAATAATAATTATAATAATATAATTATAATATAATAATAATAATATTAATAAGAGATATATAATAAAAACAAAATATAACTAATATATTACATTTAACATAGTTTTAACTTTTTATTATCTAAAAATTTTAATTTTACAAATTTTTTATTTTTTTGAATCGGTGTTTTTGTTTTCAGTTTAGTTGGAATCATTTTAAACTATTTAATTATTTATTAAATTGACTAAAATTTTCAAAAGTATTTTTTTTATTAAAATTATAATTATAACAAAATATAAAATATGCTTATTTTATATAATTTTTTATTTTATATTTATTAAATTAATGTTATAAGTAATTTTAACATGCTGTCTTCTCTTTAAAACATACGAAAAATTTTTGGAACACTTTTTTCGTTCATATATCATAGATAATATGCTTCAATTTTACTCTTGAATTGTCAAATACCGAATCAACTGTCAAGTTTTTAAGTCCCTACTGCATAGTTAGTCACAACAACAACAAAACATTCACATAAAGGTAAATTTTCGTTGTAAAAATAAAAGATAAGTTAAATCATAAGTTAAAAAAGATACATTAGACGTGTTTTATTCATGTTTACGCTAAAAAAAATAAGCATATAATTTTAATAATTATCAATAATTGCAAACCCATATTAGCCATTATCAAAAACCATATTTAATTGTGGAAAATGTAAAAAATAAATTATATAAAAGTTTTTCTTTTTTATATTATGTAATTAGGTGAATATAGTGGTCGCTATAGCATACTCTTTTAAGCAAAGTCTGTCAATAAAATCCTTTTATTAACTAAAACAATGAACACACGGATACGCTACTTAAATTTTGTGGCATAATAATGCTTGCACATCATTGAAACACTTGTATAATATCCTAATGTTGTATATCTGAAAAACATTGCTCTTATTAACTGAAATTAAGAAAATAACCACTCTTTTTTCAAGCAAAGCTTGAACATTAATTGAAATGACCAAAATCGGTTTCCTATATACCATTGATGACTACATGTCATCATGTATATTGATTTTGTTATTAGAATGAATAAAAGATGTAGTTAATACATACATATCAAATCTTTTTCGGATTTCATTTGTTTAGAGTGCTATATATAGCTGCTCATGAACTGATAAGTTATATCGTACAGATATTTTTTTTACTAAGTTAGTCTACTTTGTTCATTAACATTATAACTATGTTTATATTATATTATATTATATTATATTATATTATATTATATTATATTATATTATATTATATTATATTATATTATATTATATTATATTATATATTTATATTATATATTATATTATATTATATATTATATTATATTATATTATATTATATTATATATATTATATTATATTATATATATTATATATATTATATTATATATATTATATTATATATTATATATATTATATTATATTATATTATATTATATTATATTATATTAATATATTATTATATATAATATATTATATTATAATTATAATATATTATATTATATTATATTATTTTATTATTATAATTATTTTATTATATTTATTATATTATATTATATTATATTATATTATATTATATTATATTATGTTATGTTTATATTGTATTATATTATATTATATTATGTTTATATTATATTATATTATGTTTATATTATATTATATTATGTTTATAGTATATTATATTATGTTTATATTATATTATATTATGTTTATATTATATTATATTATGTTTATATTATATTATATTATAATTATATTAAATATACTTATAAGGGCAAATTAGTGTCTTCCGTTTTAAAGTAACATAAATGTGTGAGTTGATTTCTTGATCGAAAAAATTAAACATCATATTGCAGGGGCGTTCATTTTTAATATTATATAAAATACAGAATTTTAAATGTTCATTTCATAAAGATATCTTTCTTGATCGTGCATTATTATCATATAATCTGCCTCGAAGTTAACTATCTTGTCCGTTAAACATGAAGAACATATTAATGCATCAGATTTCGTACTACAAAGGATATTAAAATAAAAGTTAAAGTTGTAAAAAAATCCTAATTCGTCTGTTCTGAGTCTTACGGATGTAAAAATAAATGAATGGTTAAGTAAGAAATACTTGCAAACCATTTAGGTAGACAATAAGCAGTTTCTGGGAAGGACAAATTTCTTTTTGCAACTATAAACTAAAACTTACACAATGAATAATATTGTACCAAATAACTACTTTGAAAAATCAAACAGGTTAGATGGAATCAACAACAGTAGGAATTAGGATACAATTGTTAACGATCAGTGGCTTAAATATAGTAATTCTAAGAAGACGTTTTGGCTTAATTCAAATGTCTACAGGTCATCTTAAGTAATTAATTTAAACTAAAATTCATTGTTTTATAAATAAACTACAAAAAAATATTTCGTATTAGTACATGGGTTTTATTTCTGTTAACAGAAAGATACACATAGTCGAAAAACGGTGATAAAAGAGACAAATTATTATGAAAGACACAAAATATTCTTAAGATTATAAGACAATGTTATGCGAAAAAGGAATAAAAATATGTAGTTACAATTCTGAGATACATAGTCTTTTAGAAACTAAAAATGGATATGTAACTTCAAGTTATACGGAGAAGATAGAAATGTGTGGAAAAATTCGTTGCATGTTTTCAGCGTTGCATGGACTTGAAAGAAGACTACTTCGACTAAACAAGAATAAAATATCATCGGATCTCGATCAGGCTATGCACATTAGCACTGAAATTTTGTGGAGCTTTGTGTCCATGTTGTTAGAACATTTTACATATATTAATAAATCCTGATCTAATAACATAGGACGTACTTGTGGATTTAGGATTATTGCACTTCTACATAGAAAATTGTGCAAGATAAATCTTGTTTCCTATTCTATACTGTTTACTCGAACTAAAATCTATTTTGCCATGATTGTTACTTTTCAGCACATAAAATTAGGAAAGAAAACCCCTATTTTTCCATTTTTTATATTACCTACTCGAGTTAAACCTTTATTGCTAGGATCATTGCACTTCTGCATATAGAATTTGGAAAGTAAGCCCCTATTTTTCCCTTTTCTACATAACTTACTCGTGCTAAATCTTCTTTGCTAGGATCATTGCACTTCTGCATATAAAATTGGGAAAGTAATACCCTATTTTTCCCTTTTCTACATAACTTACTCGTGCTAAATCTTTTTCGCTAGGATCATTGCACTTCTGCTTATAAAATTGTGGAAGATGACCCCTATTTTTCCCCTATTCTATATCACTTACTTGTGCTAAATCTTTTTTACTGGGATTATTTCTTTTCGGCATATAAAATTCGGAAAGATAAACTTTGTTTTCGTCTATTCTGTATTGCTTACTCGTGATAAATCTTTTTTGCAAGGTTTGTTACTTTTCAGCATATAAAATTAGGTAAGAAAGCCCCTATTTTTTCCCTTTTCTATATTACTTACACGAGCTAAACCTTTTTTGCTAGGATCATTGCACTTCTGCATATAAAATAGGTGGAAGATGCCCCCTATTTTTCCCCTATTCTATATCACTTACTTGTCGGAAATTCGGAAAGATAAACCTTGTTTTCGTCTATTCTGTATTGCTTACTCGTGATAAATCTTTTTTGCAAGGATTGTTACCTTTCGGCATATACAATTAAATAAGATAAATAATTTCTTTCCTATTCTTTATTACTTACTCGTGCTAAATCCATTTTGCTAAGATCGTTGCGCTTCTGCATATAAAATTGTGGAATATGACCCCTATTTTTTCCTATTCTATACCACTTACTTGTGCTAAATCTTTTTTACTGGGATTATTACTTTTCGGCATATAAAATTTGGAAAAATAAACCTTGTTTTCGTCTATTCTGTATTGCTTACTCGTGATAAATCTTTTTTGCAAGGTTTGTTACTTTTCAGCATATAAAATTAGGTAAGAAAACCCCTATTTTTCCATTTTTTATATTACCTACTCGAGTTAAACCTTTATTGCTAGGATCATTGCACTTCTGCATATAGAATTTGGAAAGTAAGCCCCTATTTTTCCCTTTTCTACATAACTTACTCGTGCTAAATCTTCTTTGCTAGGATCATTGCACTTCTGCATATAAAATTGGGAAAGTAATACCCTATTTTTCCCTTTTCTACATAACTTACTCGTGCTAAATCTTTTTCGCTAGGATCGTTGCACTTCTGCATATAAAATTGAGGAAGATTACCCCTATTTTTTCCTATTCTTTACCACTTACTTGTGCTAAATATTTTTTGTTAGGATTATCACTTTTGGGCATATAAAATTAGGAAAGATGAATCTTGTTTTTATCTATTGTACATTGCTTACTCGTGCTAAATCTTTTTTGCAAGGATTGTCACCTTTCGGCATATACAATTAAATAAGATAAATGCTTTCTTCCCTATTCTTTATTACTTACTCGTGCTAAATCCTTTTTGCTAAGATCGTTGCACTTCTGCATATAAAATTGAGGAAGATAACCCCTAATTTTTTCTATTCTATACCACTTACTCGTGCTAAATCTTTTTTTGCTAGGATTGTTGCACTTCTGCATATAAAATTAGCCATGATAATTTTTGTATTGGTTACTAGTCTTTATTATTTAGTCGAACTTTATAATAACGCTCTATTATAAAAAAGTAAAGTTTATAACAATTTTTTGATGGACGGAAGTGAAAAATATTATTCATGTACATATGAATCTTTATTAATATAATATTATAAAATATATTTCTGTTGACCCACACATTTCTCTCTCCCTACTAATAGACCTCCCTGACTATTGTTAATATTACTATTACTATTACTATTATTATTACTATTTATCTCTTTTTTTATTTTCTTAATTCTTAATTTCAGAATTTCAAAATCTTCGCACTTGACATACTACGGAAATCTATGCAAATCTAGTCAACTATGAATGTTATCTTTTGTGCTATGGCAATTGTTATTGTATTATTAATATATCTAACTGTTGTTGTTATAAATGGTATTGTTGTTATTGTTGTCTCATTGTTGTTGTTGCCATAAATTAACTGATTACCGAGTCAAAGCTAGTAAAACTACATATCAATAAACAGATACATGTACATATTATAATGCTTATGTGAAGTTATATATACGTAGCGTAAATTTTTAAAAATTTATTCAAAAATATTTGCATTTGTTTGACTGTGCAAGTTTTTTAGGGTTGCCAATTATAAGCAAATATGTAATGAATTTTATCAGCAGTAAAATGTAACTACGAGACGTATATCTTTTCTCATATAAAAAAACAACGATAATAACAACAATAGCGACAGCAGCAGCGCAGAGTACAACAAAAACAGCATGCACGATTACAACAACAATACCAACAACAATGTTTAAAAACAGTAACAATAAAGTCGCCATGGGTTCCAATGTTCAAACGTACATTTCTGTCTTTCTGTCTGTCCATTTGTTTGCTTGTTAGTCTGTTTGTAAGTTTGTGTGTTTGTCTGTCTCTAAATGTGAAGTTAGCTTGTGCTTGTTTGTGTGTTTGTAACTATGCAGTTGAGTTGGTTGTTGTTGTTTTTGTATTTTTTTTTTAATTCTCCATTCTTTGTATGTTTTAAATTTAGTACAGCGTGTTTATGGCAAACGAAAGCTATGAGGTCTTTTTCCTTTATTATAATTTTTTCTTGATTTTTTTTTTATTTTGTTTTTTATTTTTCCGTCAGTTTCGTAAAAATTCAGCCTGCCTGCTTGGTTTGTACGTTTGTATGTACTGCAGAAGTTTATAACAGTGTCTAACTGTGTAAGTGTGTGTGTACGCGCGGATTGGTATTATAGCATAGCAGTGCATGCACATATGAGCACATAAAAATCATATATAAGTATATATGTATGTTAGCCAAATGTGCTTTTGTCAGTTTGTCCGCTGTTTTGTCTGCTGCTCGCAAGCACACACATTGTAGGTTACGCAAATATGATGCCATGTATGCGTGTGAGCGCTTGTATAAATGTGTGTAATTATTGGTTCATAGTACAATATTTGAATTATATGGTTCAGGGTCTAAGAGTCCGAAGTTAAATTCAACAAATATCGTACGCAGGTAACACAGGCAGACAAACACGGCGGAAACGTATTGTGTTGGTGCGTAAAGGTCCGTCATAATTTTTTTATTTTTTCAAATATAAAATTTGACTTACAAATTAAGCAACAACAACACACTGTGATGTTCTGTATGAAGTCTCTGCTAAACATTCTGCAATACATACCCTACAAACCTTGCTATATAATTTAGTATTAATTTAGTATATCATTTTTGTTAAACTGACCAGAAAAAATAAATATTTTTTTTTTTGCTGCAAGCTTTACTACTACTACTACCGATCTTACCATAGCATCCCTGTCCAGCATGCAGCAAATGTAACTGTTGTTGTTGTTGTTGAACGCATCATCTTACAAGCCATAACCCGAGATTCAGTTTCACCAGGTTTGGTAGTTTCATAATAACATCGATGCCTTTCGAAGAGAGCTGCGTGCAACCATACAAATCGATCGTCTTCAAGTTGTTCAATTCTTCGGCTAACGTTTGCAGTCCCTTATCGGTGACCCGACTGCATTGTCCAATGTTGAGATTCTCTAGCTCATGTAATGACTTTGCTAATTTGGTCATGCCCTGATCTGTGATTTGACATTGATTCAGGCTCAACGAACGTAGATGATATAGACCCTGCGCTATATGATTTAACGCTTGATCGCTGATCTTATCGCAGAAACTAACATCCAGTGACAATATACCACTGCCGCCCTCTGTTAGATATGCCATACCAATGTCAGAGATATTATCGCAGGAACGGAGATTTAATTGTTCAAGTTGTGGCATACGTGCCAAATGTTTCAGTCCACTATCAGTGACCGAAACGCAGAAACTGAGATTAATTGATTTTAGTGACGTTAAACCTTGTGCTATATGGCCGAGTGCTTCGTCGCTTAAACGTTGGCAGTCCTGCAAACCCAAATATTCCAGCGCTAAATTACCTTCCGCCGTTTCCTTACTTAGCCCGGAAAGATGCCCAATCCCTTGATCACTTATATGCCAACAGGAACGCAAATTTAAATGCTTCAATTTTTTCAAACCCCACGCTATAAGCAGCAGACCCGTATTCGTGATATTACAACAACCGCCCAATTCCAGCGTTTCCAGATTCTTGAGATGTTGCGCAATGCGACCCAGACTAGTATCGGTAATTTGTTTACACAAAGACAAATCCAATTCTTTTAAATTTGGCAGATCCACAGAAAATGCATGACCCAAATTCACATCAGCCACATTAAAGCAACCACTTAAATTCAGCGATACCAGAGACGGTACACCCCACAGCAAATCCTTCAACGATCTGCGCAGTGATAGTATCTGCACCTTCTTTATACCTCGTCGCACTAACGAATTAAAGAGACTAGGACTGGAACGTTTCAGATGTAGCTTAGCTTCAACACCCTTCCAAACACTTTTGGCATATGCTGCATCCCGCCAAGCTACACAGACTTGTGCAGCGCGTCCTATATCACGCACTGGCAACTTTTGGAAGATCATTTCTAGTATTTCTGGAAAGAGATTACTTATGTGTATACCTTCAACGGGTGGTGGACTTTCTGGTGACGCGGGTCTATGCTGATGATGATGATGGTGATGATTATGATGATGTTGCGCATGTGCTGCTGCAGCGGCTGCTGCAGCTGCTGCCGCTGCGTGTTGTAGGTGATACAATGCGGGAGGTATTGACTGTAGCTGTGGCCTGTGGTGCAGTGCATAGGGGGTAAAACGTAGATAGTGGTGTGCACGCTGCGTGAGGCCGGGTAATTCAGTCTGCTGATAAAGATGATCATCCAACGTACTCCAAGCAGCGGCTGCTGCTAATTGCGTTGCTGTAGGTAAGCTACTTCCACCGCCACCAGTAGTGCCCCCGCCGCCACCACCACCACTACCGCCACCATGATAACTTGTAAGCGCTGCAGCTGTTTGCAGTGTTATTGTTGTTTGATGATGGAAAGGAAGAATTTCGGTATTTGTGGCCATTTTATTTTACTTTTGCTGTTTTGCTTTTTTTTTGTTTTATTAAAGTTATAATTATATGAACCTAGCTTGTTCTTGCTTTCTGAGCGCAAATTTAAAAACGCGCGCGCGTAACTGTTTTGACACTTCAATTATTTATTAACGGTTTTTTAAACAAATATTAAAATTTGTTTAATTGCATTTTGTATAACAGTTCGTTGCACTTTATTTGTTTTTGTTTTCTACTTGTGACGAATTTTATTCGAAAACAATGTATAGAAATCTTTTAACACTAGTAACGCTATTTTAAATTTGTTGTTGCGTTTTTATTTAAATATTTTTTTATTTATTTCCACTACTTTTTTTGTAATTTATGTTTTTTAAATATTTTCTATTTAATTTCATTTATGCATTTAAAATGTAGTGTTATTTTTATTACTGTTATTTATTCCATTTTATATGGAACGCACAAAAAACTACTTTGTCGACCTCTATCGACCGCTTGCATGACACCACAACCGCACAGAATAACAACGTTTCACGAACTGAATTCCATTTCATTGGCATTCAGTGCGTTTACTTCAAGTTGTGCATGAAACAATGCTGTCTTCTCGAAGAGCGCACACACACAACCATAGCAGCTGCGAAGGCAGGTAGTAAACAAACAAATATGCTCGCCAGAGAGCAACTTAAGAGAATAGCGGCAAGTTTTAGGTTTTCTTGTGTGAGTGAGTTAACTTTGCAGAATTCAGCAATTCAAAGCAATGTAAATTGTATGCAGGTAGGTTTGGGTTTGTGTTGTGTTGAGATTGTAGCAAGGAATTTTGTTGCTGAATTTGATTATTTTGATTTAGAATGAATTCTAAACTCGGTTTTGGAAACAATGTTGTTGTTTAGGCTGAGAATTAAAAAATGTAGGAGAGTATAATATACGAAAGTTAAAAATTTAAGTTAAAGTAAATTATTTCCAAAACTTTAAGCCATACTTATAACCCTTATAACTTTAAAGAGTGAGAAGAAGTTATAACGACCGGGTCTCTCTGTATTCGGAAAACTCTAAAATGTATGCCAAGTAAAATGTAAGAAAGTCAAAAAAACAAAGTAAATTACAATTTTTAAAACTTTAAGTCGTATTTTTAACCCTATTGAGCTTAGAGAGTAATAAATAGTTATTATACCGTTCTATATATAACCATGAATCCCTCGATTCCAAAAATTCATACCAAATAAAGTATAAGGAAATTAAAAACACAAAGTAAATCATACTTTCCAAAACTTTAAGTCGTACTTTTAACCCTATTATGCTTAAAGGGTAAAAAAACTAGTTATTCCTGTATTTGAAAAACTCAAAAATTTATACCAAATAAAACATAAGAAAGTCAAAAATGTAAGTCAAAGTATAATTAGAGGGTAAATAATGGTTATTATATCATTTTATGTAAAACTAAGTGTCCATGTACCTCAAAAGTCAACAATTGAAATCAAAGTAAAATATGTTTTCCATAAATGTACTTTATATGTACTTCATACTTTAAACCCTATTATGCATAGAAAATAAAAAAATAATTTATCATACCATACTAGAATAGAATATAAATAAACAGGGAGCCGTATCCTAACGGAGAGGGGCACCGCGACAATAGTTGATATATTTTGATGATACTATCTATCTTTTCGGACAGAACAATTTTGTTAACTCTGTTAATAGCTTACTGTAACTGTAGAGACGAACCAGCTCATTCTATACTATCTATAAAAGAAAATCGATTTACCATTCTATTTGTAATCCAGTATCCCATGTACCACAACTGGTTTTATGTTATATGTGTACATTCAAAGTTGTCTGATTTTTCTTAAGCTCTAAAGTAAAACAATTTAAAGTCAGAGGATATATTATTTTCGCCTTTTCCCATTTCCTCTTCTTTTTGTACCCACATTCTTTTGGTAGAATTACTAATTACAAAATAACATTGGACTACATATCAAAAATTGACCTGATTATCCAGTCAGAAATTTCAAAGATAGAGAGATGATAGAAATAAAATTAGATGGTCAAATAAAATTAAGAAATAAATTAAAATGAAATTTTTCTTGAATATAGTTTTGTAGTTAGACTTTCTTTTGAATGTATTCTAAGCACAACTGACTTACAAGAATCGTTCTAAAATCGATCAATCGAACCCAAACAGGATCAATTCTTCTATTTTTTTTGGAATCTATCAAGAACTATAATAGGTTGGAAAATGAAATTCGAGTTACAAAATATTAAGGTATTAAGATATTGAAACTTATCATTAGGATTTAGGAAGTTTTATGATTCCATCCTCTTCAAAACTCAGCCCAAACATAAAATTATCATAAAAATTTTTTTAATATATTTAAAATTTTGGTTTACTTCCATTAGACTATACAAATTTATTGCAAATATAAAAATACAATTTTAAGCAAAATATGTAAGTTTTTAATTAAACTTAAACCGCTAATTATTTCTTGACTCTTACAATCTTATGAAATATTTAGTGAAATTGAGTTTTCTTAAAAAGTGGCTCAACTTGAATTCCTTATAACTATTTTAATGCTCAAAATATATTTATTTATTGTAAGTAAAAAAGTTTCAAATTTTGATAAATAATAATATTTAATAACTGAAAATGTACAAAAAATCAACTATTTATTACAGCTTTTTTGGCTTTTACCCAAAATAAGTATTCGAGTTTTTCAAAATTATTCTTTTACTAATAGTTACTAATAGCCCAATTAGTAGAATAATTAGTAAAGTATTAGTGTCAGATCTTCAGAAAAAACAGAAAATTGTTCTCAACATTCTATTTTCACTACATATCTCAGGACCTAATAAAAAAAACCAATAAGTAATAACATGAGAACACTTATCATTTTACAATCTATCCATAAATTATTTAATTTATTTACATTTTAAATTTCAAATAAATCATTTGAAAAACAACGAAGTTATCACACATTATGCTCAGACGCACGATCTGTAATACCGGGGTTTTAATAGCCCGATCGGGTTTAATGATTTTGAAAATACATTAAAAAGGAGAGCAAATTCATATAAATATACTGATTCAGAAAAAACCGAATTTTGATCGTCTAATTTTAATTTTGTCACACTGTGACGCCTTCTTTTATGCGCTTAGTCAACCCATGTTTTTAGAATTCATTGTAAAATATTCTAAAGAAAAAGGTAAATCTATAGTCTTTTCAGACAATAGAATTGAAAGCTTAAAACAAGACAGTTCTTTTCAAAATTACATTATGGTCACCATATTTATATGAATATGAAATTGGATATTAGATTAATTTCTAATATTTCTATTATTGTATTCTGGTTCTAACAAAATAGTTATACATGAGTGGAGAACCCTTGTTTTAAATAACAAAAAGTGGTAATTCATATCTAAGAAAATAAGTGGACAGTGCAAATTTTAACTCTCTATTTATTATACTTACTTAAATGGCTATAATAACTTATTACCGGCGTTTCAGCCCGGCGCAGTTTTCCTCTTCAGGCTACTCTACTGCTGGGGTAAACTCAGTGGTTGGTCCTAGGGGTCATTGCAATAAATTTTTAAAAGGAGGTGTTTTAAGGTTTCTGTAGTTATTCATTAATATAATTAATTATAATATAATAAAATAATATAATAAATTAATATAATTAATAAAATATTTTAAGAATGATTATCAATACGATATTTATATATATTTATATATGTATATAAAACTCGTTCTCTGCTTGATCTCGGCAATTTTTGTCTTTGTCGCTGTTCCTTGTCTTTGTCAATTCCAATCCTTTTATTCTGAAAATCGGTTAGAAGTCTTATAGTCTCACAGAAATCTAATAGTAATGTGACCGTAATATATAAAGAGATCATTAACACATACTTTAAATTTAGAGATTATTTTTATAGATATGAAGAATCCTTTTTTTTCTGATGTGCTTTTGAAGATTTTATAAAACTATTCAGTTTCATATTTAAAAAAGGTTCTAAAAACTTTTGTAATCTGGCTCTTACATGTCTACTATAGGAAAACCAATGTTAGAGTCATAAAATCACTTAAACTCTGTGGTTTATTCGGGGGGAGAGGACAAAGAATAGATCTTTGTTGACAATCGACAGATAATAAAAAAAAATATAATTTTCATATATTTTTATATTTATATTTTATATTTTTTTGTTTTATTACAAATAGTAAGTTAAGACTAAAATTAATTTGAAAGTTAACGAAGAATAAGAAACTGAACTGGAATAAGGTCCTTCGCCCTGTATATATTATATTTAATACTAAAATTAACTAGTAATTTTTATATTTTATATTTATTTATAACAAATAGTAAGTTAACACTAAAATTAATTTGAAAGTTGACTAAGAATAAAGAACTGAACTGGACTATTAGGTCCTTCGCCCTGTATTTATTATATTTAATACTAATATTAACTAGTAATTTTGATGTATGAAACACTTTTCTGGAACAGAATCTTAATAGTACTTACCTAACTGGAACCATAATCTATCCTTAGCTCTGCTATAATCACAAGAATGTTAAGCCCCAAAAATTACAATCCAAATTTACTAAAAAAAAAGAAATTAGGAAAAAGAAAACTCTACTCTGCGACTATAGAAGGGCCTGTTTTGAATATCATGAAATCGGAAATTTCGTGTCTAAATGTATGCGAACCAAATATCAAATAAACAATGCAAATATTGTAATATTGGTGGTCTTCGAACTGCCGTTGGCCATGGATAGCGAGTGTAATACGCACCAACACAAGCTCAATGAATACGCACTCTAGTATATACACACGTATACACGTAACAACATGGCTAAGTAAGCAATATTATATGCACACGCATAAACACGTTATTGGACCTTTAAGTTCATACCCTGATTCCAAGAAATTCGTGCATATAAAAAGTTGCCGCTGTGCTGTTATATTTTTTTTTTAATACACGAAGTCCTCATTGCTTTTGCTGTTACTGTTGTTTTTTTGTAGTTGTTGTTGTTGTTGTTGTACTGTTATTGATACTCGTATGTTAAAAAAGAAGAAACACACAACAAAACACAAAAAAGAACGAAAAGCAACAAAAAAATAATGTGAAGCCGAAATGGGAACTCAATGTTATTTCATGTCTTTCTTATTTTTTTAATGATTTTCAGAATCCAACAACAGCAGTGCAGTGTATACGCAACATTGTTGTTGTAAGCAGTTTAAGAAAACAGAAGAAGCAGCGTAGACATTACAGAAAAAAAGAAAACTACCTGCAATTTATGTAGAGAAAAGCGCCTCCAAAGAAAATTCTAAAGGCGCTGATTTATTTCTATGGGAAGTGATTTCTTTTCTTATACTTTGCCTTGTTTCTAATATTATTTCTATTCTTAAATTTTTTTTATTTTACAAAATATATGGCACGGTAAAGTATGGTTTGGCATTTCTCATTTGAACCCTCAAAAGTCCTAATCTTTGAAAGGATGCACAATAGGTTCAGGTTGCATGCAATCACTTATAATAACGATGATGGCAGTGGTCGTGGACGGTATTGATTCTATTGTCTGCTACCTGTGAAACAGGTTTCACTCTAAGGCAAGATCAATGCTGACAATCTACCAAAAAAAAATTTTTTTTAAAATTCCTAAATAATAAAAATATCATAAGAAGCAAAAGGAATCCAATAATGATTTTGAAACTTATGAAATAATCTTTTCGTTGAAATATGCACAACAATATTCCAAAAGCAACAGGATTTCAAAATATTTTTTTTTTTGATGCTACACAACCCTCTTGCAAATACAACAAAGCGGTTGAACTGACTACGCAAATGCATAGTTTAAAAGATAATAATCGATTGCGTCTTTATATGACAGAACTTGGGATTTTGCCAGAGGAATAACTCTAATAATTACAAAATGAAGAAGAAACAGAAGAAAATGAACAACAACATACAGTCTTCTCAAAGAAGGTGCAACTTTATACACCAGCAACTCACACACAGCAACTCGCAACTGTTGCAGGTAACAGCGAAATGTTACTTTTAAGGCGATAACAGTGGGCGAAATTGGCGTTAACCAACGCAATAAAATCTGTAATCGCTGACATAGTTTACACATTTGGCAGATAATGACAAGAATGACAATAAAAAAATGCAAAAACAAAAAAAAAACATAAACAAAATAATGACATATGTAGACTTTTTAATGCGGATGCACAGAAATCGGAACAAAAAAACAAAACAAACAAAAGTAAATATCGAAAAATGTGGGCTTTTGATAGTGAAAACAAGAGTTGAACTGTCAATTTACTCATGTGCATCGCTCATAAAAAGGCGTTAAAGTCAATGCAAAACATGTTGAATTCTATAAGTTTATTAAGTAACATGTTAATCAATAAGAAACATATATAGTCAATAATAATACATATGTTTTCTATCAACTCAAGTGAAGCCTTTAGGGAGTAGCGATATTGAAATGACATAAGTGAATTAATGATGAAATTTAATTTTCATAACAATACTCAGTGGAGTAACTAGTAGGTTGCAAGGAGTGGGGATATTTTCCAGGTAAAAGGAATATAATAATATCAAAATGATAATATATAAATTACACAGAACTGTAGTATACAATATACACAAAAACTTATAATACTGATAGATGCAGGATACCACCTATGCCTAAGTAAGTGTAACTGTAACTGTAACTAGTGGATGTAGGCAGTGGGAACATGCTCCGATTGACATCATCCTATAGAAGTAATATCCAAATGAAAATGTACAAATTTTACAAAGCTATATAACATAGATTTTAACACTAACAAAAATAGAATACGACCAAACAATCTGCAAAGCTGCAGACACATTGTCGGTTTAGTTCTCAATTATATACACGGTTGAAAATTTTAGTTAAAATTCTCAAGACTTAAAACTTTTTTAAGGTTTAAATCAATATTTTTAAACTCTGGGGTTGAGGTTTTTAAACCCACAGAAGTTGATAATCTGTAATATACAAGAAAATAAACTTTCGGAGTTGAATGCTTAAACCTTAAAGTTTAAATCATAGAAAATAAACTGCATAAGTTGATAACATAATCCACAAGTTATATTTTTATTTTGTTTCCTGACAAGTCACAATTCGTAATTGAGCAGTAAGTAAACAAGCACAATGATCGAGTTTCGAGAGAGAGGTCAGCTGAAAATTTAAACATACGAATGTCAATCAGAGAGCAGGCGCCCCCAATGATGATCTAATCAATCGGAAAATTATTTAAGAGGGAGCACTAATGCCTCAGGCGAATTAGTATTTAGGTCGCAGGCGTTGGACATTTCAACAGGACTTAGCACAAAGCACGCGTCAACCAAGAATGGCTGAACAACAACGTTCCGTGCTTTATTCCATTCACACAGTGTTCACCGTGTTCTTTTGATAAAAACTCTTTAGATTTCTCGGTCTGGAGTATTTTAAAAAATACGGTTGGCAGTAAAAAATACAGAAATGTCGATCGTCTGAAGCAAGCGTTAAGCCGAGAATGAATCAAAATACCGCTATTTGCAGGCAGCGTGTGATAGCTTCATTGGCCGTTTGAAGGACTTAATTCTAGCTAGAGTTGGCCATATTGAACCCAAATAAATTAACTTAAAAATTTAAAGTTCTTTACGCATATTTTCATTTATCTTTAATTAAATTTAACAAAATTGAACAAAATAGAGCGTTTTACTTTGTTGTAAATTTCGTCTGCCATATTATATATTATTTTCTGCAACAACCCATGGCATACTCACTACTCTATCCTCATCTATTAGAAGATCACGACGATACAAAATTAAAAAAACAAATTTAAAATTGGTATATACGTTCCAATATCTATTTTTATCTATTTTAAAAGTTTAAATTTTTTTACAAATATTTTCTCCTTTACATCGAATTCAATACATTTTCACTTTCGTTTGCCTTTTCATACTTCTAACTACTTTCACTGCTATTCACTGTACAACAAAACTAACAAGTTAATCAATTTATTCGCTTCATAATTCACTTTATTAAAACATTTGTTATCACTATGAACTGTTAACACTTTTGTCAACACGTTGATGCACCGATTTCGGCCTCAGTAAAATATTCGCAATCCTCTGCATTGGCAGCTCGACGAGTAAAACCAATAAAAATGCACCAGCCATCGACAATAAAATGATAGCAAGAAAATCCATGCCAGAGCCGACCTCAGTGAAATTGGTTGCTTCACTGCGTAAACCAAAAGATGCAAAAACAATGACAGGCGCGACCATATAAACGCTGAAGCAAAACTTATTCATAAACAGAAATGGACGTGCACTCAGGAGCGCATCAAAATATCCACCATGGCCGAAGGCGCACAATAAAATCACACCGCCGATGCAGATAGCGAACAGTAATTTGCCAAAGGACATAATTATGGCAACCAACCAGGAGGGTGTCGAGCGCCAGTAGCTCATGAAATTTGTGAAAACGTAAATTGTGGCCAAGAATAACCAAAAAACCGCACGCCAAACCGATACACGCAAATCCACCGTCGTCGACTCAACGCCACTGTATTGTGCATGATGTTCTAACTGTTGTACTTGTACTTGTTGTTGTTGTTGTTCTTGTTGTTGCAACTGTTTTTGTAACCGATGTTCATACTGTAGCTGTTCTTGTTGTTGTTGTTGTTGTTGTTGTTGTTGCCGTTGCCAATATTGTTGATTCTGTTGATGATGACGATGACGACGACGATGATGATGATGATGCCGATAATAATGCATAAGCCAACCAAAGGCTACACCCACAATGTAGGGTACACAACGAACCCATGATTTCACGTAGAGTTGACTAAGCGTACTATGGATGACATCAATTCTGTTCGAAAGCAAGTAAGCAAGCGTATATGTGTATGTTTTGTGTGTACGTGTTAGTATATGTAGTGTGGGTGTTTAACACGGACGGTGTACGGACGGTGTACGGACGGACAAGCATTTAAGTTGCGCACATAAAATATTGTCGGATGTGCGTTTGTGTATTGGATTATATATATGTTTGTGTGTGTGTGTTGTTAGTTTGAATGTGTGAATATCTGTTATTGTCACATTTCACACTACAATTGGTAGCCATACTCACTGAAATGTTATGCCGTTGCGGTAATTGCATAGCCAAGCGATTGCCACAAATCCTAGCGTTAATACGGCAAAGGCGATTTTGGCCGCTTTAGCATTTTTCGCATGAATGAAAAGCAAAACAGTGAACAAAATGTAGAACTGCATTTCACAGGCGAGGTACCACGTCCACGAGCAACAAATATTCTCCATGTCCAAAATGTTATGAATATATAATAAATTATACCACCAGTTGCTGTAAGACATAAAAGACGGAAAAGATGGAAAAGACGGAAAAGGTGGAAACTTGTAATAAAAAATACAAATTTAAAAAACAATAAAAATTATGAATTATGAGTAGTCATTTTACGATTATAAGTGTTTAGTATGTAACTAAGTAAGTTAGATGTTAAATGACTATTATTAGTTAAAATGGCTAAAATATAAAAATCACTTACTACTTTAAAAATATTTACTTTTACTTATAGTAAGTAAGAAGTGAAGGTATAGGATGTTGTAAGAATAATATGCATTTAATATTATGCATGCAAACAAATAAAACAAATTATAGTGTTTTTAATATGTTTATGTTAGACGAGTTAATAAGGAATAACTTCAAATTAAGCATCTTGTCGTAATAACATTTACACAATTGCACATATAATTGCACTAATCAACACCTAACATATAGGTGTTGTTATATAGGTATATAACAGGGGTATATATATAAAATATAAGTATTTTTCTGCACTATCTATTTTAGATGTTTTTTTTTCCATAGGAGGTGGAATCTTCTAAACATGCTGTAAAAACATGCCCGATTTATACTGTTCGCTACCACCAGTACTTGGGTTTGAGCAGGTACGATGCTCTTGCATATGCCACACTTTCGATACACTATATATTAGAAGTTTCCCGCGGAACCGCAAACTAGGTATTACTTCGCAGTATTTTACATATACAAACCTTGATAAGCTGAGTGTTGATCTTCCCCAAAACACCAAGAATATCAGGATGTGTACATCACAGTGTAGTGTTGATTTCTTTCAATAAATCATAGTGTGCTGACTGTTGATCTACCCCAATATAACAAGATGTATACACTGTTCCTCTACCACAAAACATTAATGGTTGCGGACTGTGGACCTAACCCAACAAATAAAGGTGTGTTTCTTTAACGCACCAGTATACGCACATTTTTATCTCTCTTAACACATCAGAGGCTGTCTGTTAATCTAACCCGATTCACCAGAATGTGTATAGTATTAATTTATCCGAACACGCCAGGGTGTGCCCAAAGTTGATCTCCCCCAACAAACAGTGATGTACCGCCCGTTGGTCTAATCCGACCCTCAAGGGTTTGTACAACGTTAATCTACCCCAATACACCAGCTTGTGCACATTTTTGATCTTTCCTGACACATAAGGGGCATACTGTGTTGATCTAGCTCAATAACAGCTATTCATACATTAAAACTGTAATACATAGAATCGAAAAGTACATGTCTTTTATATACACGTCCGGATATTCTGGGTGTTGATCAAACTATGAATTTGACAGATCTGCCTTTTATGATTTTCCACAGCGCGTTGATATAACTAAAACAATTTAAAACAGCAAACAGAATCAATGTGGGAACTCATCTTCCTAGATAGGTCTTTTAAAATTGAAAGGCCATAAAATAGAAATTTGCGCCAAATCGTAAATCCGTAAACATATTAAGTACAGTTCGGGGTAGTTATAAAGACAATTTACACTGTCGTGGTACTAATTATTAGAACTGTCAAAGCTAAAAATTATAAACTTACCGTATACGGAAATTTGATCCGTTCAATTAAACATGATATTCTTATTCTATCTTTTCTTATTATAGCTTCTATAATTCTTATATTAATTTTGATGTATTGGTACTGATGTTAATATATTAATTGTTTTGTTATTAGTCTCCTCAAGGACCCATTACCGTTTCAAACTTTTTTAGGTTATAGTTTTGCTAGTTAGCAAAAATAGCACAAATAGACTACAAATACACCACAAATGGATCAAAGCTTTATGTTTAACTACATTAGTTATTAAAGCAAGAAGATTTTCATTTTCATTTAGAGTAATAAGTTTTAATCGAATTAGAGGACTTATGGGAAATGCTTCGCTGCTTTTAATCCAGTTAGAATTATCCCAGGGTTTTAAATTAATTTTATTACAAATATAAAATTTTTTATTAAATTTGTTTGTAATTAAACACAATGAAAAATTAATATAAATAGAGAGAAGTTAAATAGTAATGAATTAATCAAAAAAATATTTTTTATTTTTATTTTTTTGATTGGTTTTTTTGTTGGCGCTGTTTTAGGTGTTTGAAACCTTAAATTTGATAGGACTTAAGTTCAAACCTAACTACATGAAGTCGGAATATATTATGTATGTACAAATAAATCCAATAAAAATGTATAAGACGATGAATATCGGGAAGTTGGCAGTAACTGTCATAGCTGTATGATCACCAACAAATTTAATAAATTAAAAATGTTAATTTAATTTAATGTCAGTGACTATTTTCCTTAATAGAAACTATTGTACACAATAGAGAGGTTTTGAACCGTAGTGTATAACAACAACAAAGTTTTTATTATTTTGATAATATTACACATATTTTAAATACGTTTTTTTCGCTATTTTCCGACAGAAGCTAAAATTTAAAATCTATGTAAATCAATCTAGTATAAGAGGAACCTGAGTTTTTAATGTTCTTAAGCCATTTCATTTATTATCATTAGAATAAAATGAACTCTTCGATTTTTTTAATTATGGAACAAAATATTTTCTATAACTTATTTGGATACGACTGACATGCATTCAACATTAACAATTTTTTTTATTATTAATACCATGAGTTCATCTTCATTATTTAACAATGCCAATTATATTTCAAAAATGATTAAATCAGTGCATATGTTTAACAACGAATTTTAACCCATTTATGAAACAATTCCAAAAGTGACAAGAGTACCCAGGAACCGCTGTTGTGGAGAAAGAGTAGCGTTTATCTAATTACCGCATATTCCCTCGGGAACATTTGTAAATTGCATTTAATTGGGAATCAATGAATTAATCAACATGATTCGATTCAATTTTATATTTGTAAGGGCGAATTATTGAATATAATTTAGTTTAAGGCAATTTTTTTATGGAAATTGTATTGTATGACTTTTGTTGATATTTGGTTTTTTAATAATTTCATTATACACTCAAATTACCATAACGAATTAATACATAAATTGCCCCTATGTAGTCAATGCAGAAGCATTCCTCCATTAATTACAATTCATGCAAAATACATTACCAGTTCTTTAAATATTAAATTATTTAATGAAATTCTATTAACTCTAAGAAAATAATAATTGAAAAACTTAAATAAATTAGTAGTACTTACGTTTTACAATAGATACCACTGTGTGGGCCTAAGTAAAATGGGGAGTACATGTTAAGGAAGTCGTTTAACATATCGCTCAACAGTAACGTGATGATCATGACTGGAGTCAGGCTGTGTGGTAAAAATTAAAGTTGTTATTTATGTTTATGGTGATTGATAAACAAAATATATAAAATTTAATTAACTAACCGTAAATAACGATAAAACACAATTTTACAGAATAACACAAAATTTTGGAGAAAGTTGCCATTCCGTATCAACTGCAGTTGCTTTGCATTTGCCAAAAAATTGGAAACATGCAGGAGAGCACTAAAAAAAATTAAATTAAAAATCATTAAAAAATAAGTGGTTGTAAATAAATATGGTAAATGAAGTGAGAAATAACATATAACGTATAAACATTACTTTTTATAAAATATCATATATGTAGTAAAAATTATTTATTATTTACCTTATAACAAAAAAGATGTCCACATAGAAGCAGGCTTGTATCACCGGCTGCAGTATGAATTGCTCTAATTTGGCAAAGACTAGCGCTGTATTTGTCAAAGCAAACAGTGAATAGTAATAGACGTGGAAGACGGTCACCCATAGACAAATAATTGTACGCAACCCTGCAATGACGCCTAAGAAACTGTCCGATTTGTCTAATTTTAAAGCACGTTGAAAATTCTCTGTTAAACGAAAACTTAACAGAATCTCTTCAAATGTAGAAGAGCTTTTCGCTGTTATTTGTTTTTCTGCTGTTAAATTGTTGTTGTTTGTGCTGGTTGAACTTTTATTTGCTGCTTTTGAGTGTCCGCTTTGCTGTTGATTTAAGCTCTTTTTATATTTATGCATAAGTTCAGCAAGAATAGTTAACATAATAACAAAAGCTAAAATAGAACTGTTAGGGAATTAAAAAATAATTTAATGTAGTCTAAAGAATTAATTATATATATTTTAATATAAAATAAAAAAAATGAATACGAAT